GGCAGATTCCCCTGAGAAGAATGAGCAAGAAACTCTAGGGGTTGCTCTTTGTAAATAACATTTACAATATTTTTTTTTTATTATTTGAAACATCAGAGATCGAGACTACCTCCATGAGCTAAACGGGTTACTACCACGGATTTTTGTCATCCAAGTACGCAGAAGTTGTATAATAACCTTTAGTATAAAGTTTTTGTTTCACTATAGTTTTAAACCTCGTGTAAGGCAAATTTTGTATATCAACCGGAATCTTGTTATAGAAGCGTATACATTGCCCATTGTATTTTTGGAAGTTTCTTGAAACAAAATCTTTCTCAATATAGTCATGGTTATCTACCTAAGGATAAGATGAAACAACTCTAATGTATTTCAAAATGCCTGAGACGCATTAATCTACTCAATACTCTCTGATTGATGAGAGGCACTCATTTATCAAGCGAGTCTACCTTACCTCGAATAGATTGACCATTACGTTAATGATCAATCGATCATGGTATTGCAAACAACGGCATTGACAAACAAACGGATAAAAATGGAATCAGGTCTGGGTAATTGGATTAATTTTTTAGGGAGCGGGTGTGGGATTTTGGGGCATGATTTTTATAAACAATTTTCGTCATAGTTGGGCGAATTTCAACGTTTTACTAACCGCACTAAAACCAATGATTTTTCTTATTTCATGTTCAAAATTTCACAACAAATTTCAGGACAAATTTCAGTTGTAACCGCTAAGCTAATAAAGACTTATACTGGCAGTTACAGTTGAACATTGCACGTCAGCTGTTAGTTACTGACTGTCCGTAATCGTATGTTGTACCATACCATAGTACAGGCCTGCGTGTACAGATGTAAATAGTTTCTAGCTCATGACTAAGTTTTGGATAAAACGATGACGGAGGCGTTTTTTTACGACAATAATGACATTCTTTAAAGTCGTAACTCTGCAGAAAAAAGTTTAAATAAATATATACATGACGATTAAATGTCGCCTCGTTTACTGAAACCGCAGCAGCCGGCCCTGTTCTACTATTAAACTTGGAAGCTAATTCTATAGTTTATATAATAATTTATACAATAAGCCATTGAGAACTATTTATGAAGGATATAGAACATTTTATAGTGTCCTATACTTTTCCGGAAAAAATAATCATAAAACTTTTGGAAAAATCTTGCGGAAGATTCTGGGACCGACTCAAAGGAAGGATAGGATGTGGAGAGCAAGGATGAAACTTGAAATTGAAAAAAGCTGCGATACTCCGTTATTTCGGACACGTGGAGAGAATGGGAGAGGATCGTCTCACGAAGAGAGCGTACTTGGGACGCCCTAGGTACCGCTAGAGAAATGAAGTCCAGAAAGATCTGAAAAACCTCGATAGCGGCTGGAAAGAGAACCGGGTGGCGTGGCAGAATCTGGTGTAGCTAAGACCCAATTTTGGGACACTGCGCCTCCGAAGTAAGTATCGTATACTTTTGATGAAATATTCCTAAAATATTATCCAAAAGCTTTCAACACTCTGAATATTAAAGTCAACATTCACCGCAATCGAAACTCAAGCCCCTGAGTAACCAGAGAAGTGACTCGGAGGTTCTTAACAAATCCTTAATGGTGGAACTGAATTAAGATCGCTTACGTCTCCCAGCTCATTTCGTCTCAATGTTTATTTGCATAATGTTGATTTTGAATGGCTTTTTGGCAAGGAATCGTATTTCGATTAATTTAATCATTTCTGTAAAGGGATATTATGTTTGAAAAGTGTCTGTTCAGCTACTCTATAAACCTTAGGGAATACGACCGGATTATTATTTTATTTATTTATTTATTAATTACAAAAATACATTTTCTTAATCTAGAACATAGTCCCACAAAACTGAATTATTCAGTTTGACTGCGGGATCAAAATATGAATCTCGCTATTACTATTACAAATACTACGCTATTACAATATTAATAATTAATCTAAACTAGCCAACAAGTGCTGAAATAAAAGACGTTTAAATTTATTTTTCTTATGTTCACGTCTAATAACCTCAGGGAAACTATTCAGTAGGTACGGAATACGTTTTTTTAGGGTTCTATCTCCATAATAATTTTTAACCTTTGGTACTACATATTTACCTGAGGTCACTGATCTCGTGTTACAGTCATTATTAACAGGACACAATAATGAGCCACGCTCCTGTGTTTCAAAGTTATTAACAGCTACAAGATATTTGTGCTTTATGGAAACTGGCAGAATTTTACAAATTTTAAACAATTTATTATATTCTCCATTACATTTATCTTTTGTTTTACTATTCACTAAGAGTTTCAAAAATCTAACTTGCATATTCTCAAGTCTGTCTATGTATGATTTAAATGAAAGTCCATAACAGTCTAAAGCATAACTTAATATGGAGTCAACCAATGCCATGTATAAACACTTCAATGTGCTGGCTGGTACTTTAAAACTTAAATGATAAAATTTTCCCAACAATATTCTTAGCTTATTATGAATAAAATCAATATGATTAGACCAAGAAAAGTGTTCATCAACTTTCATACCGAGATAAGTGACACATTTCACTCTTTCTATAGGCTTACAACTACAATTAATTAAATTATTGTGTATACAATCAAATGAATGGGAGAGTATAGGACATGGTGACTGCTTTAAAGGCATATAGGGAGAGTGTATAACTAATAATTTTGTTTTATCAGCATTTAGTACTATGCCATTGTCATGGCTCCACTTGGTAATTGCATCTACATCTAGTTGAACGAGACGACTAATTTCTTCGAGATCAGTACCTGCACGGAGTATACACAGGTCATCAGCGAACATATGTGCTGTACAATACTGCAACACACCACATATACTGTTAACATGCATCAGATAGCACACTGGCCCGCATCCCGATCCCTGTGGGATTCCGCACTGGACTTGTTTCTCTACACTATAGTCATCACCCACCTTTACTCTATAAGAACGCAATGTTAGGTAATCACGGAACCATTTGTTCAGTGGCTCACCAACCCCACACTCCTCCATTGCATTTAACAAGTTATTTGTTTGTAATGTATCAAACGCTTTTTTAAAATCAAAAAACACTGCGAATATGGTTTTTTTATCACTTAAATTGTTATTAATTTCATCTGTAAAATTTGATAACAAAGTGTTAGTACTTTTACCCTTCTGAAATCCATGTTGACATTTATTTAAAACATTGTTTTTGTGCAGGTAATTTCCAAGCTGATCAACTATACATTTTTCTATAATTTTATCTATAGAGGATAAAATAGCTATTGGCCTATAATTTCCATAATTTTTAGAATTTCCTTTCTTATAGATAGGACGCACTATAGCCTCTTTTAACTTACTAGGAAAACTGTGACTACTCACTGACAAGTTAACCAACTTTGTTATTACCGGGGATACTTTATCTACAGAAAACTTTAAGTCAGACATACGCACCAGATCACAACCTGGTGACTTTTTTGAATTCATATTATTTATGATTTTCTTAACCTGATGATTTTTCACAGGTTGCCACCTCATCTGCCTGTCCGCTCGTTTGACATAACTATCCCTGCACAACCATTTACTGTTACAATTATGTTTTATTTGTTCTATTCCATTAATAAAGGCATTGGCGAAATTATTGCAAATATCTCTCACACCCATCTGAGAAAAATTAGATAAGATGAAACTATCTAAATTTGGTCTACTATTTCCCATCAATATATGAATTTGTTCCCATATTTTTTTAATATTTTTATTACAGTCTATAATACACTTTTTATCATACTCATTTTTACACTTAAACAATAATTTTGTACATTTATTCCTATATCTTGTATAATTTAATCTTTTTAACATATTTTTTGGTTGATTACTCCATACTACAAACAATCTATCTCTTTCTTTTAACATATTTTTCAATTTATCTGTAATCCAGCACTTGTTATCCCTACCACTGATACTAGTTGTTTGATTTTTATAACACTGATTATAAATATCAGTAAACAATAAACTAAAGGCAGTGTATAACTCGTTGGCACATTCTATATTCATCAAACTGTCGAAGTCAACTGATAACAACTTTTCTCTAACCAAACGGTTATCAATAACACGACGAGAACAGGAGTTAAATGCATTCTGTACAATCGTGTCCCGTAAATCACACTTCCACCGTAACACAACTGATACAAAATAATGGTCTGATATTTTTTGTTGAATAACAGCAGATTTAATAGTAGCTAAAGGTACACGAACGTAAATATGATCTAAACAAGATTCCACAAGATTTCCGTTTAAAATTTCTCTGCGCGTTACCTGGTCAATGCATTTAGTGAATCCAAATTCAGCCATTAAACTTTCATATTCTGTAACATAATTATTTTGTTTATTTATGAGATTTATATTAATATCACCACATAGAACTATTTTTATTGTTTTTGGCAAGCTTTGTAAAAGACTACGCAATTCGTTCAGAAACTGTGCAAGACGGTTGACTTTTTTAATTTTAGGTGGCCTGTATAGTGAAATCAATTGTACCGGTTCATTATTAATTTGCAAAATGACGGTAACGCACTCCGCTACAGTCATACGTATACTAGGCATCTCGCTCACTCTCGCCTTAAGAGCCGCGCTCGTGTAAACTAACACCCCGCCACCACTACGTCCTACACGAATAAAGCTATTAATATTAAAACCGTCTATCTTATAAAAACTCAATAATGAAAAATTTATGTTTGGTTCTGTTATGACAAGAACATCTAGATTTTTAAAATTATTCTCTAAAGTAACAAGTAACTCTGCAAAGTTTTTCTTAAGAGATCTAATATTAATATGCACTAAACTAAAGTCATTTTTCTCTTTAAAAGACAAAAACCAGCTATCCAAACTGTTGAAATTAACTGAAGTACCTGATTCGTCACGTATATACTCAATTTCATTTATGTCTGCGAATTTTGAGGGTGAATTTAAGAACGTAATAACACAACGTCACTACAGTTCCATTCACTTTTTTGTGAGCAATTCATTGATATCACTTTCTGACCTTATCCACGCAGACTTATCTCCTTCGTCTTTCTTCACTAATATTCTGGCATTGCTCACCCATATATATTTGAATATACCCTTAAGTTGCTTCTTTGCGTTCCATAGTAAAGATTTATTAGAAGTTGTTAAATCCTCGTTAACGTATATTCTGTCCATATTTTTACCTTCTGTAATGTTTTTACTTGTCACTCCAACCAGCTTTCGTCGCTGAGCTAGCCAGCTGTCACGAGTAGCGGTGCCCGTTGTTTTAAACCAAACCATGATTGAGGCAGGTTTATTGCTTTGATTACGTGTTTGTTTACGCTTACACCATGCAATGTCATCACTACACACCTCCATAATACTACCTATTTTCTTCACGACTTCTTTTATATTTTCTCCTGGAATCTGCTCAACACCAACTATTTCAATATTATTTTGTCGGGTAGCTTGCTCAAACTCGTGCACTTTTTGTTCAAGAGCGATGTTACATTTTTCTAAGTACACACATTTGTTGTTAATTGTTGAAACTGTTTTTTCAAGCTTATTAATTTTGGTTTTTGCTTGATCTTGTTCCGCCACTAAATTATCGTATTTGTCGGAGAGAAGATTCATACTGTCTTTTATGGTATCTAACTGTTTTATAAGACTTGGAAGGACACTGACCTTTTTTTGGATGTCTTTTAGCATTTTCTTAAGGTTTTGACTATCTTCCTCTATTTCCTCACTCTCCGAATCTTCGTCTTCCTCTTCACAATTATTACAGTAGATTCTGTCTTTACCTGCTTTTATATCAGCAGCAAGGCCTTTAACACAACCTTTATGAAATGTCCCTTGGCATGGTCCTTGACACATGAAATGCGAACCCTTCCTCGATAACACTTTTTTACATTTTTGGCACTCCATTTTAAACTCAATTAATATTTACTAAATTTATCCGTAAGTAGATATTTGTTTGTTTATGACAAGAAGACGCGCGCGCGCACTCCGCTTGACGCCTTGTGCGAGAGTGTTATGTTAGCACCACCCATTGTAAAAACATTGTATTATTATATCTAAACAGCATGGTTCTATAAGGCGAGGTGTTGTAAATAGCATGTTCATGAAAGCTCGTATTGACACGTTCTGTGCCATCGTGTGACGTCGTATAGTTTCTTTTATGGATAGGCTTGGACGGAGTAGCAATGGCTTAATTCGAGAGTTGTTTGCTCGCCTGATTACCACGTCGATGTACAACCGTTGTTGGCTCGAAATCGCCACGTAGGGTGAGCTTGACTTGAATTAATTTTATTTATGTTTTTTTTTTCAATTTGACTAATTTTTTATGTGACATTCTTATTATATATTTTTTTTAAGTTAGATGTTAGTTTTAGATGTTAATTTTCTTAATCAACTCGAGAATAGATTTTAGGAGGTGGGGTGTGTTTGTCGCTTCGCGCGTCTCGCGATCCGCGCGTTAAAAATTAATATGAATTAAACGAGAACAGGCGGAGAAAATTTGACACAGATCAGAGGTCGACAAGCGCCCGATGGAGACTGATAGGGCGTGTCGCTAAACCGCTAAACAATTTGCAAATTTCGTGATTAATGTGAATTTAATAACTAAAGTGCTTCAGTTGAAAACTTAATTTATAACTTTTGCAAGTTCTCTGTAGTACTTAAAGAGAAATATCTCCATAAAAAATTATGTACAAAGTTTGATATTTTATTCTTAAATTATTCGTTTTGGATTTCTATTTTAACCTGTCTTCAGGATATTATATAATCGGACAAGTACATACTATCGCGTAACTAATTAACACATTCTTTAGACAATATCCTTTGGTGTATCGTATATTTTTGGTTAATCCATTATTTGAAAGTAAATACTTAAACCATTTGATCTAGCAAAACAGTTTTTCCCGCTTCTCTTCTGCTGACTCGCCTTAAGGATACTGTTTAGATCCAATCGACCATATTGATCCAACCGTTGTGAACCGTCTTCGACTTGCAGCCTCCATAGCATGGCTACGCATGATAGTCGCGACGCGCGCGATAAAATTGAAATAAGCGCGAGCTATTGGCTATCTAAATTAGATCTGATTGAGACAGCCAATAGCGCGCGCTAATTCCAATTTTATCGCTCGCGTCGCGACTATCATGCGTGCCATGCTAAGGGGGCTGGTTTCATTATAATATCAACTCTTTTTTATTTTAGGACTGTATTGACTTTGAACAGTATGTTGCCACCCTTATTGCGTTATCCGTGGCCACAAACGTAGTAATTTAGAAATTGAAGTATATATTTTTTATACTACAAAATGACGGGCCGAACATGTCTTGTGCCTGATTGTAAGCGACACGCCTGTACATAACAGTTGCAGTGAAGCAGAGAGCTTTAAACCGCAAAGATCTGAGGGGCACAGTAACCGTGAGACTTTAGTTTACAAGACCCATGTGTTCTTACCCTTTAAAACCGGAATGCAAGGCTCTCATTACTACTTGGCGACAATAGGTAAGGTGTATTTATATGGTAACCTTTATGTACCAACTTTTTGTCAGTTACCCATGTCCTGGCTGCTAAATGTTAAATAAGGAACCTATAAATATAAACATTCCCCAAACAATACTTCGTGCTTTTTACGTTTAAACAATGGAAATAAAACTATTGCATACAATACAAAATATTTCATAATATCGTCTGTGAACTGGCAGCCGATACTATCTAAATTTTCTAAATATTTCACTTTTTATACCATTTTATACTATTTCATACTCCGCAGCGTTGTAACAAATTCCATCTCAGATACATTTAATTTCGTCGCCAGAGTCGACTTCATTCGACTTGTAACAACTTCTAACCAGGTGCTGTATAAATGACGAAAATTGTCAAAATTGAGACAGTACCGTTTGCCAGTTTACAGTCGATATTTTGTTAATAACTATTCACAGGTCGTTAAAACCAAGTAGTTTTGGTATTCTATTAATATCAGGGTAGGGTAAAGGGTAGGCGTGCTGGTGAAATTACAGGCACATGTTACTTCTCAACTTATGTCTCAGGGTGACGCGCGCAGTGGCAGTACCTTTCAGATTTTTGCGACTTTAAGCTCTGAGTGGCATTGCAACTGTTAAAGACAGCTTACCATCTGGCCCACGAGTTGTTCATCCCTTCAATTGGTATAAATAATAAAAAAAAATAAAAAACACTCTCAGACACGTACATTACGTATGTACATCACACATAATACACTCATACGTAAACACTAATAATTCTAAAATGTCTTTTTCTAAGTGGGGTAAGTAACATAAATAAAATAGTCATAACGTTTTTATACGTCATCATTTTATTGAAGTGATATTTATAATAATAAGTCGTAATAATTATTATGACACAGGATTGCACGTTTCTTTGGATTTGTTCACATAATTATGATAATATACACGTTATATTTACAAAATGAGTTATCCACATAAAATTTTACATTAAAATTCTAAAGTGAAATATACATTCATATTTATTTACACAATATATTTATTTGTAATAATTGCTTATAATTAAATGATTTAGCACATAAAATTATAATAATATGGCTGACAAAACAAAAGCCAAATGTGTGATAAATATAATAAACAATGTGCAAGCTCAAAAAACAAAAAAGTTGTTTCAAAATGTATAGTAAATAAGTCAATTCAGCAACATTCTCACAACAATATTCTTCGAAATAATTAAGAATTCGCAATAATTTCCTAGAATCGCATAAGTGATTTGCAAAATTCTCATAATTCTACCAATTATGCGAATTCTTGTGAATTCCCAATAGATGACCTAGGTAAATATGAGACGACGAAAAATATTTTGTATGTTTTTACACTACCCTCATTTCTACGAAGACAATTGTGATAAAAAAAATATGAACCTTTCATACTTTTACCGGTGTAGTATATGATTTAGTATAACTGTAGCTATTTAGATAAAATTTATGGCACAAAATGAATGATTTGTAAGTAAAATCTAGGCTATTATATACTACATTTGAGTTTACTTTTGTATATAATGTTATGTCTTCACTAATTATTAGTTACCGCATATTATGTACAATTTTACTATGTGACTTTGGCATAACGGATTTCACATCTTTGGTATGTAAATAATCATTCAATAAGTGCATCCTTAGACAGACGACGTGTAACTTAGAATTTTAATTTAAATGAATTCTTTGCGCCACAACATACATAGAAGACGAAACTCTGTATATAATTATGTAATTTAAAGAAAATCAAATTGTGACTTATGTCCTAATTGTACGGAAATAGATTTTATACAAATACATTTTCGGTAATTCTAGGGTTAATGTTCAGCATCTAATTCCCGTGGTAATTCTGGTTATTTAACCCATTCATAGTCAACAGTGTCTATCGTAAAATTAAATATTAGAATATGATAGTACGGGGTACCCGTTTCGCTGTATGGATCTCAAAAACCAACTACGGGCTTTATAGTTGCCGCGTACCGCTTTTCCATAGAGAAGTATCAAAAACATACTGACAAAATTCAATGATCTACATACATTGAACATTTTATATTGAATCAAAGTAAGCACTAGGGCAAGAAAACACAATATTTATATTATTTGCATGATTGCGAATATAAAAATGTCAATGTTTCGAGTGGATGCGGGTCGGGCACGTGTCGGGTCGGTACCGCGGCGGATCTAATTCCGTGTATTTATATGGATACAACACCCGCTATTGGTGTGTTGTCGTTTTAATCATATAAATTACACGGAATTATACTTCTGTGTTTCACGCTTAGGTGCGCCTGTGACGCACTTCCAGCTCCCAGCTCCGTAGTTATTCTCAGCTACGGCATATGCTCAGTGGTGCCGATTCAGTATATTTAATTTTACTTTTAATTTATTTTTTTATTTTGTAAGTATAATTTAAAATTAATGGCAATGAATTTTTTTTTCTTTCTTTCTTAAATTACTGACATTTTTGTGTGCGGTACTATTTAAATACTGTCAATGAAAGGGTTAAGTATTCGAGTGTATTGTCGTGCAATATTATTTAATATTCGTGAATAGTATATTTAAATAATAGAAACGGCCACGAAAATTAGATAGAGAACACTGACCCGAGATTTACCATTTTCTTTTATAAAAATCTACTAGCTGCTTTCTGATTCTGCTGACATTTCGCTTTGATGTCCAACGTAGATGTAAGGACGCACTAAGAAAATCCCAGCAGTTTTGTCTATTATGCGTTGACACAGCCAAAAAAGTTCAATATAAAAGCATGTATTATTTACTATATTATAAAGATAGCTCTACTTTCATGAAAAATATAAATATAATAACAATGCTTTTCCATAGTATAGTTATAAGACAAGTATAGTGCCTAACTACGTGCAAACGCATCGCATCGTGAGAGAATGCAGATGTGTGCGTCATTTGCATAGAGTTACCATACTTGTATTATTATACTATGTTTTACTTACAAAATGTAGAGTACCTATTTATAAAGCAGACAATTAGGTAAAACAAATATTTCAGGAAAATGGAATGAGCTGAAAATTGAAGGGCAGTTTGAACTTTCCTTTTTTAGTATGTGTGTCTTTGTGTGTGCGTGTGCGTGCGTATTTGTGTGTGTGTTTGTGTGTCTATGTATATAGAGTATGGAATATGGAATGATACTTCGGAATACTCTGTTCATATTTCACATGATTGGTTTAAAAAAATAAAGTTGAATATTCTACCTACGTTATATTCCTACGTCATATCAACTATGGAACTTGCCCCTGCGAAAAAGCAGTACAGTGTGTAGCCTTTAAAAAGATAGCTCCAAAAAAGGTTGAAAAGTTAGGTCTGGACCGCCATATGCAGCATTTTTGTCACTGATTTCCTGCTGCCGTCTGTGAGAAAACTATGGACGTTTTTTTTTTCGCCCAATCAGGTATCTTTACAGTTATCAGTGGCAGGCAAAAGATGTCGCTTTATTATTTGAAATATTATATTTTTTGTGAAAGCACTTAAGTAGCTTTAAGACCCGTTATAAAAAACCGGAGCGAAGAAGACCGATGCTCCACCAACCTTTAGTACTTTGTTAATTTGCCATGTCCTCGTCGTTAAGCCAAAATAAACAGACTACACACACCCGCATCGAATAATCAGGCTTCGCCGCAGAGACAAATTGAGCGAGTGTTCTTTTTTTGATTTAATAAAACTATTCTTTTTATTGGAATGACTCTATCAGTCCGTGATGTTATATTTTAAAACAATATAACTCAAACTTTTTGCACAAGAGATCACAAAACTCACTTTTTTATACTTAATTTTTAGTGTCTTTTATTACAATTTTTAAATAATACTAGAAATAATAGCTATACATTAATTTGTGCCTAAATAAGGTAACAAGCTGGTATAAATCTTTGGTATTTCTAGATAATACGACCACTAATATACTTTTTTTCAAATGTAATTTAAAATATTTTAAAAATCATTTACACGTAATCGTAGATGTATAAGTTGTAAGGAAACTAACAATTAGTAACAAATCCTTCTGTGATTCATACATCTATAATCAACACCTAACAAAGATATCAATAGATACGACAAAGGATAATAAACCTTTTAGGTATTTGAAAAACGACGCAACGGACTCACGTTTGTAATAAACTTAAAGAACTAAAATGCTTTAAATGGAATTAAAATTTGTTGACTGCAATGTTGTACAATTTAATTTTGTTTTAAATTTGAGTATTTAAAAGAAATAAGGTTCAAAGTCCGATCAATGAACATTTTATATTGAAAGGATATTAATATACCTCAATTTACATAAAGTCAAAAGCCTTAACGCCAAGTGGGGGGCGCAAAGGCGGTTGAGGTTCAGGAGGGCAAAGGCTGTAGAGGGGGCACCCCGCTGGGCATGTGGGGCCTATATTCCAGCTGAGGTCGCAGGCCTTGTGAGCCACGGAGATCTGTGAACGGATGAATGGGGTTAGTAATATATAGCATATTATTTTTTTGTTTTTATTTTTTTTATTACAGGATTTATTTTTTTTAAGTTATCATGGTCTCCAATTATAGGTATAATACCTTTAACTTTAACACTTCGGTACAAATGACAAATTATTTTATTTAAAGCTTTACTGATCTAAACAACTTTTGTAATTAGAGGCATAAAAATTATCTGTTAAAGAAAGTAATGCCTAATTGTGACATCAATTCCTATGTGTTCGAAAACTGCGTGCAGTTAATTACGTTGTCAAACTCACCTATCCGATGTTCTGGCACAGCATGCATCTCACTCGCATGCATGGCATGCACGTCAGTATGCGGAGGCTGCATATGCGGTTGCGGGGGCCGCAAGTCCGCATGTTGGGTCTCCCTATGCCTTCGCAGGTCCACCTTGCGTTGGAAGGACCGTCCGCAAAGGTCACATGCGAAGGGTTTGAAGCCGGTGTGTTTACGCGAATGAGTTATCAGATTCGAGCTCTGGCTGAACGCCTTCCCACAAACTTGGCATTTGTGCGGCTTCTCTCCTGTAGACAAACGAAACGTCTAATGAAAATTTAGTTTATGAAAATATAACAGGGCTCTATCTTTCGCCAATACGTCCCTGGTTATAAAAATTTATGTAATGTGCGTTGGGTCAGTGTAATGGATTATATTTTTACTAACGTAGTACCGTACCTACCACAGTATCGTACCGCAGTAATTATGCTTGTTACATATTAAAACTAATACGTATTATAATTATTCAGAGTTCAGATAAATAGTCTGCCATAAAATAAATAAATAAAACGTTTATTCATTTAGGTATAAACCCATTTATCATTAACGTTACAATGCATTATTTTTTACAAAAATGATACAAATTTATAAGTAAAACGTTTTACATACAACTAATTTATATTGTATCATTTACTACACTGCTGTTCTTATTATAATATTGGCCGATTTGCTCACTCTTAAGAGTGGTACCGACGACGATTTTTTTTATAAAACCAAGACGAACAGGTCATGCGCCTGGTGGTAAGCGACACTCCTCTTCATAACAATTACAGTACCACTCAGTGCTTTAAATCGCAAAGATCTGAGGGTCACTGCCGCTGCCCCCGTCACCTTGAGATATAAGTTGACAAGTCCGATGCTTGTAATTGCACCCGCGCCCTTACCCTCCCAATTCTCACATTACTGCTTGATAGCAATAATAAGGAAGGTGACAGTACTTCCCGCGATGAACACTTTTACATGGAGCTCTACTACTACTACTAACTGCCGGCGACGTTGTTATACGTGTCACGGCTTCATTACTACATAAAATCTGTGGACATTGTGAAGTATTTACGGGTGAAAGTCAAAGATACCCTGAGGGTCGAGCGGTTGGGGTCTCGCCACAATGTGAATTTTAATTAATTTGTGGTAAGAGTACCAACTCAACATCTGTCGATCTTCATGAAGAAGAAGTTTTGGCCGAAGGGTGTCATGTATCAACGTTTCCGATGCCGGTAACCGGACACCCAAGTTGCATCACACGTCGTGAATAAATAGTGTTCTATTATATTGTAGGTATGTTAGACCTTCTGATATGTATATGGGTCATATTGCCTGATAATAAATAAATAAAAGAAAGAACATAGTCCGTGAACAAAGATCCAAGTATTAATTTGTGCGTGTACTAAAATCTTTCAAGTGCCCTGCAAACTGTGAAGTCCAGGGGGCGGGACGTGTGTTGCATCGTTAATATTAGGGCCACATTCGCACAGATTACGCGGACGTGTATTAATACAGGCACGCGGGCCGCGAAAACAGCATCCCTAGAGTGACCATCGTCTGTGAATTTAGGCTAAACTTTTAAGGCTATATTTATAGACAAGCAAGAGAATGCCTTAATTAGAGATGCGCCCAGTACTCGTTTGCTACTCGGTACTCGGTGTACTCAGCCGTTTTTTTACTACTCGTACTCGGCCGAATAACTCGGTTCATGAGAAGAGTACTCGGTTAAAATAAATCATTACAGCTATAGACAAAATAAAGTAAAACCAACAATATATTTAAAATAATCAAGAGAGATTTATCACTAGAAATTTTAGACAATTGTAACAATTTAGTAATTAAAAAAAAAGTTTACATTATTAATATTTAAAATTTAACAAAGGCAATTTATAATGTAGGAATACAAGGCTTTCTGCGCGTTCAGGTAATAGTCTGTTCCTTTTTTCTTCATACACATTACCCACTTCGAAAAATAACCCCTCGCTATACAGTGCTTGCAGGTGACATAAAAACACTCGTGCTAACTGTGCCAGTTTTGGATATCTTGTTTTGTACCTTGCCCGCCATTGCAAAGGACTCCGCTTTCACGACAATAAATTTTCATTGACATATCGGTCTAATTCTAGAGCAATGGGATTTTTAGGATCATCGCGTTGCGGTTGTAATGAACCGAGTAACTCGGCCAAGTACTCGGCTCGGCAAATGTTAAACCGAGTAATATTCGGTACTCAGTTACTAGGTACAATTTGTACTCAGCGCATCTCTAGCCTTAATACTTATAATACAAATCACTTTTTCACGTTGTAATATAAAATTCGTATAACCGGACCAGAGTCAAAAAAGGAAACAATTATTTTGCCTTCAAGCTTTGGTAGCCTAGTATTTAAACGATTGACTTTCAAGAGATCGACGTTTTAAATCCATGTACACATGTAATTATGATTTTAATTTGTAAGTAACATACATTTGTGTATGTTTTTTAGCAATATTATGTCGCTAACGGTAAAGAAAACCCTTACGATGAAATCTGTATGTCAAAAAAGGTGGACAACCCTTGGAAAACGTGTGAAGTCTATGTCTAAGTGGACTGTGGCCTAAACCCTCTCTTTAGAAGAAACCCGTGCACAGCCGTTTCACATACCGGTGTTCTTTAAAGCAGGATCCAGTTCGACGTATGCTGCGTTGACTGAAGATTGGATTATGTTGCTTTGTTTAGGTATGTTACTGATTTTGGTTGCTTGATCTCAGTTTCCATTAATTAAAAAATAATAAAAATTTCACTTATTTTTGTGTTTATAATTTCCATATTTAACGATATTCTATCAGGTTGTGACGGATATTACATTTCTAATAAAAAACAAACAAAAATACCTACAGAACCCAAACACATGGTGTCACCAACGAACTCTGTCGTTCCCGAGTAGTATGAGCCGGATCGATACGCGGATATCTGCACGGATTATCCGGATTTGGACGTTGTTGCCAGATAACTTTTGATAGAGCTACGGATCTTTCACAAAGATTCTTATAATGTTTGGTGTAATTAACAATTATACATGAGATAGAATGAGATATTTCATTTTTTATTTTTCTATATACGACTTAATTTCACCACAGTCATATGTTTCTTTATAAAGGTTTCGGATTTCCTGTCGCTCGTTCGGTGTTGAAGTGATCAAGTATTATCAACAAAGTAGACGCATTACCAATTTATGGGTTCTTTTTGCATACAGGTAAGGATGATCAAGTAAGTAAAGCTTACATCTTATTGTTACTAAAACAAAAGATTACTGTCTCGAATTCGTTGCTTTTTCTTATTCCTTTTGCTATGTTTTTGTTTTTCATTATTGTTTGATTGATTGTTAGTGTGTGTCGTGTATTGTATTTCTTATTGCGTTTCATATGTATTTGTACTAATTTCTGTCGTTTTCGTAACTCCTTCTACATTCCGATACGGTCCATATCGTTCACTTTAATTACCAAAAAAAAATCGACAATTTAATTTGTTGAAATTACGTCATCTTCTTTAGTAGGCTTAGTAGGCCAGCGGGCTTGCGTACTGAAGGAAATTTTATGCTTAACATTCTTTATATTGTTATTGAATAACGAATTTCAATTCCGCTTAAACCATGAGCGAATAAAGATGCTATTTAAGATTGTTTCTCTTACACTATACCTCGTAAAGTAGATGTCATCCCAGCTAGCTTACTACACGAACAATCTAATACAAGAACAAAGTAAGGGACAGGACTGGCTATGATCTACGCTATTAGATAAAACCATTTTGGGACCAGAATCCTTTAACTTTCCTGATAGTACGTAATAGATTTATACATTAGCTCATGTTGTAAGTATTAGGTAACAATTATTACTATTATTTTGAGTATAAATGTCGATGACACTCTAGAATAGTGGCCTATCTCAAAATCATCTAAATTTTTTTAATAATTGTTTTAAAAGCAACTGCAGAATGTACAAAATACAAAACATACGAATTGTATGCAGGCTCTTGTTCTCTAGTGATTGTTTTAAACAATAAAAAGATCTGGGTCTTTTTAAAATAAAATTTAGCTCATTGCAATTGCATTTGTGTAATAAAACAAAAATGAATGGTGTGTAGTTTGTATTTAGGTCACTACATTTGAAAAGGAGCGATTATCTATTTCAGAATCCCTTCTCTTCCACGGCCTAAAATGATTTTTTTATGGAAGAAGTGGTGTTAATGGCAAGTGCCATATCGAGGAGTACCGCTTTCTGCTATAAGTATTGCTAATATTACAGCTTCCGTTTATGGCAGCTGGTCGTATCCGCAAATCAGTGCTAGAGATACAAATAAAATTTATCTTGCGTATCGAGTTTAATCGTACATGTTATACTATCAATTTTTAATACCATATAAAGACGTCATTCATTATGATAAATATAACAGTGTTATAAAAGTCCAGATTTTTTATCGTCTTCAAATATAAACACAGACCGTTTCGGAGAGTAGTGAATGCTCTACAAACGATATTCACTGTTATTGTACCGCCTTAAGGGTTCTTTTTGAAAGCAGGTGGCCTGCTGGTGGCCCCCCGCAGCTTGCTTATTCTTGTAAACCGAAGGTGTTTAGGTGTTTGTAAGGCGCACACAATATTTTTAGCTGACTTATAAAAAGGAGGTTCTCAATTTGTATGTTACGCGATTATTCCGACATTTGTGATCCGATTCGGATGATTCTTTTTTTGTTGAAAAGAGGGTTCTATATTGGAATAATATTTACTGGCAAACAAAAGTATTTTGGAACAGGGAATTTTTCAACTTTGCTCATATTATGTTCTACCATTGCAACACAAACACAATACATACTCCGGGGAGAGAAGGAGCCATGCTTTTGTTAAGTTGTCCGGACTACGTAACTATATATTTAATAATGACTATGACTCCTGGACTATTATAAGAAACATTGACCAGACTAATCTTCTCCTTTAGCATGTAAATTATAATTTTCATAAAAAAAGCTATTTACGTTCTTCGATTGAAATTGTGATGTAAATTTTTGCTAAAATTGCAAAATGACATGAAAAACAAAACATATAATGTCGTCTGCTTAAAGGTAAATTATGCGGCCAAATTATGTACCAGTTGTAAAAAAATCACCGACTTTCTGCAGATAAAACTCTTATTAAGTTTATAACTTTGTTATTGAGTTTCACGTGCAGAAAGATAGTGATTTTCCTACCATAGCTATATAAATTAAAGACTTTTGTGGAAAATGTCACTT